AGCAGACAGAACTAGAAAATGGGAAATTTTATTATCTGAGAATTATTTTGTGCATTAAATTGAATGAACATGGTCTGGATAGCCCACAGACATACCATAAAAATTTCTAGGACCCATTATTGGTCTCCTTTAAGTTTTTTTTTATTGTGAAAAACTACCGTCTGTAAATCCCACTACTGTCATTAACACCACCTTGTGGCCACTTACCAGAAATGCACGTACTGTACAGTTCCACCAAAAGCTCCAGTTCTGACAAGAACGTGACTTTGGATAGTTCAGGAGAAGTGGTTTGTGTGTCTGGTGTAATTTTAGACCCTGTCTTGATCCCTGTTTTGGTGGGGGTGCAGGGGTCCAGGGGAGACGGCAGAGGGGACGTGACCAGCTGGGCTCGCTTTGTCCTACAAATGAGATTTCAGACTATAAAACAGGAAAGACTCACACAGACGGTGCAACAACTTCCCATGCTGTAAGATGTGCAAAGAGCAGTAAAACAAGGCATCTGTCAAACTGAGCAAACAAATATTATTTTAATCATCTATCAGTAATTTGTGGTTTGAGCCTCAGTGACAAGAATAAATGTGTATGTCTTACTTCTCTCTTTTAAGTAATTCCCTCTCTTCTTTCAGGCTCACTGGACTTCCTGCTGTCATCAGACCATCCAGTGTCTCTGGTCCTGATGGAGGGCCCGGAGCTTTGTGGAACGGGGTGGATGTGAAACACGTCTTTGGTTTCGAGTGTGGCCGATCTGCACTGACCGGAGTTGGGTTTATTCTTCTTGATGGTTTGGACATCCTGGAAGATAATAAAAACAAAAAAGTGAAAAAGTGGTCAGGCTTTTATTTTTAAAGATAAACAGCGAGAGGAAGAGAAACAGGACTCACGCAGGGGAAGACGACGATCCAACAGGAGGAAATTCCTCCAAGTTGTGGAAGTTGAGCTGACCTAAATTTGGAGGGGAAACCTGCTCACCTATCCTGCTATATCCTCTAACTGATCTCTTTCCTCCAGTCTCCCATCGTCCAGTCTCCTCCGCGTTAGAGCCTCCACGCCCTCCTCCGTGTCTCACTTGTCCCCCTGCTGCTGAGCTGCCACCACTCTTCTTGCGCCCCTTGTGTGACACATCAGGAGGAGACACCATGTAGTCCCCAAGACACATCTTCTGGCTGTGTCGGCGATCAGAGCCTGGCGGCCTGGAGGCAGGGCTCCATGCTGTAGACAAAGAGGGGCTGCTGAAGGCACTCACACCGCTCAGACCTGACTGACCGGCAGCATCAGACTCATTTCCAGGTGACAGAGACGAGGCGGGAGAAAACAGCTGCACACGACTGGAACTGCCCGCTGATCTGCACGCCACCTTGTCTGAGAAACCACCTTGAGACTGAGCCGTGGGCCTGGGACGGCTGGGGGTCTTAGCTGGAGTGGCGGGGCCATGTGTGAGAGCTTGACTGCTCTGCTCCCTCAGAAAGTTTAAAAGAAAAGGGACAAATTCGTGTTTCTGAACTGTCACTTCAGGTTCGCAGTCACTCTCCTTTGGAAGAAAAAGAAACAAATGTAAAAAAAAAAAAAAGTACATCATGGCAGATTGGGAAAATAAAAACTCTAAATGACCTAAAGATATTATGTTCCATCCATAGTAGACGCAAAGAAAATCAGTAACAATTCAGAGTAAAGCATCTGAGCTAAAGCTGCTAAATCCAAGCTAACATCAGCCAAGCTGCGTACACACACACAGTACCGTCGGTAAACAACATTAGCAACAACAGTATTTGGTGCAAACAATACAACATAATCGGCTTTAAACTCAAACAAATGTATTTTAAGCATAAAGGAAGTTAACAGCATCAACTACAACTCTGCAGCTAAATGCAATCCGCTAGCTTTGACAGCGAAAAGTTTTGTTTACAATCATCTGCGGTGTGTCATCTCATAAAAAACAATACATGAGGGCCTGCCTGGAGGAAATGTTGCTCCTGTGTTGTTGATAAATGTTGCAGACTCACCTCAACATTCTTCAGCCAGCCTACGACCTTGTTAATGTCCACTTTCCGCGACAGAACAGATTCCAAAAGAGCCGCCATTCTTGACTGAAGATGCGCGGCTGGGAGAACCTGGGAGGCAGGGAGGCGTGGTTAGCGTCTGCGCAGGCGCAGTGAGAAAATTTCGTGTTTTTTTTCTTCCTTTTTTCAAATAACTTTATTAACAACACACTATAATGACATGAGATTTTATTCAATAATGGATTTAATAAATGATGTCCTGCTCTGTATTATTCCATTTTGAGGAATGAGAACGAAGACAAACAGAAATAATATTTACAAATGGTGCAATTATAGTTTCTGAATCACTTAGAGGAAATCTTTGTAACACAACTGCAAAAATTGAGTAAGATTTTGTTTCTCTTAGTGTATTCTGAGATGCAAAACTAAAATATTGATTTAATCCCAAACTTATGTTCTAAATATTTTTGTTTGCTTCACACCCATAGTTAACTGTTTTAACGACAAAGGCTGATAGTTTGAATTCTATTAAGAATTATAGTTTTCCAAAAAAATGTTTTGTTGATATGAAAGTGACCATCATCACCATCAAATGTCCAAAATTCCCATTTTCAATTCCAGCTGTTTTATAACACCACAATATGAAAGGGCAATAATGTTTTGGCCTTTGTGCGTTTGTTAGCAAATTCTCTCATAAAACATTGAGTTTTATGAGACAACTTTTTGTGAAACTTTCAAAAAAGTAGTCATTGGGTGTAACTGTACAATTGGTTAATTTCTGGATCCAATTCAATTCAAGATGGCCACCATAAACATCTGATCTTAAGACTGTAGAAAGAGTACATGTATGAATGAGAGGGCGGCAGGTGGAGCAGTGAGGGAGGGGAAAGGTGTTGAACTTCATGGTCGACTGTCCAGGAGGTGAAGAGGTGAAGAAGAGAGCCCAGGCAGGGTAGCTTCATCTGATTTATGACAAAACAGTGGAAGAAAGGAAAGGTTCAGACAGAACTTGAAGTGTTCGAGCTGAACGTGTTGAGGTTCTCCTTGGAAGTGACAAGGATGGTTAAGATTAGGAATGAGATGTAAGCAAAGCCAGCTATAGTGGGGAAAATAAGTATTTAGTCAGTCACCAATTGTGCAAGTTCTCCCACTTAAAAAGATGAGAGAGACCTGTAATTGACATCATAGGTAGACCTCAACTATGAGAGACAAAATGTGAAAAAAAATTTGAGAAAATCATTTTGTCTGACTTTTAAAG